CAAGCCTAGACTTGCTCGGAATAGAGAAGTGCGTGAGATGAAATCATTTAAGAGGCAAAATAAGCGGCAGCAAGGGACTTCAAGTTTCATTTATAGTCTTTTCTGGCTAAAATCGCATGGCCAAAAGGGTTTCAAGAGAAAAGCATTCTTAAATCACCACTGAAAGCAAGCAAGATGATCTAAAACAAATTCATGATTGTTTTGCTTTTATGTAAAACAATTAAACAGCTCAAAAGTGACTACAATCTCTTTTACCTCCCCGGAAATGGTTTCGAAAAAAAATGTCAGAATGAACCGAAAAGTGTCAATTTTTTTGTGACACGTGGCAAGGAGGCAGTCCTCGTAGAAACTATAAAAAATCATTCTTAGACTAAAGAAAGTATTACATGGGAGCTTTTCGAAGAAATAAGTCCGGATAACGGAAAAATACCGATATTTTCGCTAAGAATTTCTACGAGTCAATATCTAATTATACAGAAATTTCCTTAAATTCACTTCTGTCCCTTCGACTCTGCAAAAACCATACTTCTGCCTCTGAAAGCAGAAAAGTGGTTTCTGGGGAAGGACAGGCCCATGAGCTTCATCCGGCACGGCATTTTCACTGAAACTTTAGGCTCTCAAACTGCAAAAACCACAAAACTCAAAAACCACATATCTGGCTCTAAAAGCAGAAAGACAGGGAGCTTGGTCTCGATGGAAGAAAGAATTATGGCCTCAGGCAGCAAGAGACTTTCGCCAGAAGTTTCTGGGTGTCAATGATTATACAGAACTTGCTTGAAATTTACTTCTGGCCCTTTTGGTCTCGAGGAGAAAACACTAATAAGCTCAGCCAGCAAGATACTCTCGCTGAAACTTTCTGGGTGTCAACGTTTATTCATACTGAAACTTGCTTCAAAAATTTACTTCTGGCCCTTCTACTTTGCAAAAAAAACCATACTTCTGCCTCTAAAAGTAAAAAATCACGAAGTGTTCTCGAGGGAAGGACAGACCCATGAGCTTCATCCAACAGGACAGTCTCGCTAAGACGTTTGACCCCCTAGACTTCGCAAAAACCAGTACTTCTGCCCCTAAACGCAGAAAAGCACAGAAAATCCAGTCTCGGGGGAAGAAAGAATCATGGCTTCAGGCAACGGTATTCTCGCCAGAAGTTTATGGGTGTCAATAATCATACAGAAACTTGCTTAAAATTTACTTCTGGCCATTCTACTTTGCAAAAACCACACTTCTTCCTCTAAAAGCAAAACAGTACGGAAAGCTTGGTCTCGAGAAAATGGCAGAGCCATGAGGCTTCATGCGACAAACATTTTCGCTAGGGCGTCTGACCTCCTAGACTTCGCAAAAACCAGTGCTTCTGCCCCTAAAAGCAGAAAAGCACAGGGAATTTAGTCTCTAAGGAAGGACAGACCCATGAGCTTCTTGCAACAGGACATTTTCACAGAAACTTTCGGCCCCTTCTACTTCGCAAAAACCAGTACTTCTGCCCCTAAACGCAGAAAAGCACAGAAAATCCAGTCTCGGGGGAAGAAAGAATCATGGCTTCAGGCAACGGTATTCTCGCCAGAAGTTTATGGGTGTCAATAATCATACAGAAACTTGCTTAAAATTTACTTCTGGCCATTCTACTTTGCAAAAACCACACTTCTTCCTCTAAAAGCAAAACAGTACGGAAAGCTTGGTCTCGAGAAAATGGCAGAGCCATGAGGCTTCATGCGACAAACATTTTCGCTAGGGCGTCTGACCTCCTAGACTTCGCAAAAACCAGTGCTTCTGCCCCTAAAAGCAGAAAAGCACAGGGAATTTAGTCTCTAAGGAAGGACAGACCCATGAGCTTCTTGCAACAGGACATTTTCACAGAAACTTTCGGCCCCTTCTACTTCGCAAAAACCAGTACTTCTGCCCTGAAAGCAGAAAAGCACAGAGATTTAGTCTCTAGAGAGAGACAGACCCATGAGTTTCATCCGACAGGACATTTTCTAAGACTTTTGACTCCCAAACTTTTCTAAGACTTTTGACTCCCAAACTTCGCAAAAAACCATAAAACTCAAAAACCACACTTCTGGCCCAAAAAACAAAAAAGCACAAGGAGCTTGGTCTCGAGGGAAGTAAGGATTATGGCCTCAGGCAACAAGATGTTTTCGCCAGAAGTTTCTGGTTGTCGATGTTTCATTATACAGAAACTTGTTTGAAACTCGTGGCCATTCTACTCTGCAAAATCCATACTTCTACCCCTAAAAGCAAAACAGCACAGATAGCTTGGTTTCGAGGAAAAGAGACTCATAAGCTCAGCCAGCAAGATATTTTCGCTGAAAACTTCTGGGTGTCAATGTGTATTCTACAGAAACTTGTTTAAAATTCACTTGTGGCCATTCCACTCTGCAAAAACCAGACTTCTGCCTCTGAAAACAGAAGAGTGGTCTCGAGGGAAAGACAGACCGGGAGACGGTCAAGAGGCGCGATTTTTCTGGCTGTCACCAACTTAAAACTTCAGTTTCTCGCTATGGGAGTGTTCAAAAAGTGTCGGACAAAGTCCATCGGCTTACTAGCTGTTTGAAGTAACCATTTGATAAGTTCGACGACTTTTGCTAGAAAACTGACCGAAATAGTTACAAAATTGCTATAAACTGCATTTTCATGGGGTTTTTGACCTTCAACAATTTTGTTTTGAATCGCTTTCAAAATGATAAGATCGAAGAATTCCTGCAATTCTCTAATGTACTTCTTTTGAAATTTCAAATAATCCTGGAACTTCATAAAACACTAAGTATGTGCTATATACTGCCCATCTGGTAATAAGAATCGCGCCTCTTGACATACATCCAAGTAGACCCATGAGCTTCTTGCGACAGGAAATCATCTTTGCTGAAAATTCTGGCCTTCTGAACTTTGCAAAAACCACACTTTTGTCCCTAGAAGCAAAAAACAGGGAGCTTGGTCTCGAGGGAAGAAAAGACTCAGGGCTCAGGCAGCAAGATATTAGCGCTAAAAGTTTTTAAGTGTCAATATTTGATTATACAGAAACTTGCTGGAAAAATTACCCTTCTTCTCAACCATACTTCTGCTAAAAGCGGAAGCATAAGGAGCTTGGTTTCGAGGGAAGGAAAGAACTAGGGTTTTATACGACAGGACAGTTTCGGTAAGATTGTCCTTCAAAAGAAAACGCTGGGCCAGCTTTTGTTCAAGAAATGAGCCCGTTCACTGGCAAGACATCATCGAAGAAAATGCTGCTTCGTTTTTACCGACATATCTGAGTTTTTGGCTGCTGGAAGACATAAATTGACGCTTCCTTTAACATGGCACTTTCCTGGAAATCAATCTGAGTTTTGGGATGAATCAGCTGCTCTAAAGAGGTGCTTCGAGGTAGCTTCCTTGTTTAAGAGCTGTGGTATCTGGGCAAAGGTATGTGCAAGAAAACAGCAAAGATGCTTTGCGCATAGTCAGTGGTAGTAGCTTCTTTTCCTAAGAGAAGCTTCTTTTCCTTCTTTTCTTCTTTTCCCTTTATTAAGAGCATAGTGTTTTGTTTCTACTACTCACAACATGCGGAAGGTCGCTGGGAAGATGAAAATTCTCTTTCTTGGGATTTTAGTTAATTAATGGCAGATATCAATGTATTTGCCCCCACCCACCTACTAGCGACCCGTAGGGTCGCTAGTCTTATATATAAAGCTGAATGTCTGTTTGTCTGTATGTCTGTATGTCTGTCTGTCTGTACGTATGTTCCGAATAGAAAATTCCATTTCTGAACCGATCCGGACCAAACTTGGCACACATACACTTCGGGCCCCGGCGGGTGTCATAGGCTACTTTTCGTCATCGATCGATATCGATTTTATCGATTTTTATCGATTTTTTTGCTGAGTTCACCTACGGGGCTGGGAGTTGGCACAAGGGGGTAATCGAGCATGGGGATTCCGAATACAATATTGGTTTTCAGGATTATCGATTACTTTTATCGATTTTATCGATTTTTTTGCAAAGTTTGAGCTACGGGGCTGGGAGTTGGCACAGGGGGGTAATCGAGCATGGGGATTCCGAATACAATATTGGTTTTCAGGATTATCGATTACTTTTATCGATTTTATCGATTTTTTTGCAAAGTTTGAGCTACGGGGCTGGGAGTTCGCACAGGGGGGTAATCGAGCATGGGGATTCAATCCCCATGCTCACTTCCCCCCCTGTGCCAACTCCTAGCCCTGTAGGTGAACTCTGCAAAGAAAACGATAAAAATCGGTAAAATCGACATCGATCGATAACGAAAAGTGGACTTTGACACCCGCCGGGGCCCGAAGTGTATGTGTGCTAAGTTTGGTCCGGATACGGCGGAGCCGGGTAAGCCAGCTAGTAGATAATAAACAGAAGTGTTTCAAAACCACCAACGGTATCATGAGAGGCAAGCAAGTTGATAATTTGTGAGGGGACGATGCCGTTCGGAGAAGTAGTCAAAAGGTTAGAGGCAGCAGGGTTTTAATTTTTGCATTGTGACCTATCTGGTTTTGCAGGCATATCTTGATAGAGTATCTGATTGAAGATAGGCCAGGCGCACAGAGATACCTAGCTCTATCAAAACAGACAACAGAACAATTTGACGCGCAGAATCAGGAAAGAATATCAGAAATAGGCACGAAAAATAAGAAGAAAAAAGACTACGCGGAGAGCAATGAAAAGACCAACCGCTCACGGTTGAGACAAGTTCGGGAATGAGACAAGTGCGGGAAAATTCATCGATCATTGTTCCTGAGTTTTAATGACCGATCAAAGAGACCGACAAAATTTTCTGGCCGCGGTTCAAATTTGCGCCCTTCATCTAACGTCAGAAATTCCATTTACTACATTTATCTTGCTGCAAAGGATTAGCACTTTGACAGCGACAGCCAGCTACTATATTACTATTATGGGTTCCAAATGAAGTTGGGAACCGACGTACTTTATCTTGAAAAATCTGGAAATCTTGCATTATTCCCCCATTATTTCTTGAATCTTTCTCCTGAATGTTACCTTTATAGATCTCCGTCATTGTCAACTACGAAATGCCAAAAGAAGTGAGGGGATATCTGGGTCGTGTGGCACCAACGGATCTCGAGAAAGAAAGAACTGTGGTCAATCTAATAAAAAATAAGCGAGAAGCAGTTTTGATGAAAAAAGTCCAGTCGCGGTATGGTATCGACATTGAACACTTTATAGATCCACATTGTATAAGCTTCTAAATGATCATCAAGCCATATCTTCTGAAAATGTATAGTTCAATTCCCTGTAAGTAAATATGTACTTGAAGTGGTAGGGATCATGCATGGCTAACATAGCTTTGTAGCAATTGTTATTTGGAGCTGCTTGGTGTTGCAGCCAACCGCCAGAGCTGGCGTCATCCCTCAACTAAGCTGCATTAAGCGCGGTATCGTCGTTCAAGACCTCAGGTTTTAAGGCAACCTCGCTCCATCCGCTGAGGTGTATATTCAAATGTACAGTGCATGTTAATGAGGAGCTCACAAGTCCGTAGCTCTTACGCGAACGCATCGCAGGGCTGATGCGCTCCGTTCGCGTGCGTACGGCCTGGGCGCTTTGCCAACCCTCGATCGATGACGTCTGTGGGAGCGCGCGCTTCTGCATTTTTTGAACCGTTTTAGATACTTTCGTGTTCTTTTTTCCTTTTTCCCTGTCTAAACATGCTTGATTGGTTTTCCCTTTATCTCACAATTGAATGCATGCGGAACTGGTTTTGTGTCGTTTTTGCTTCATTTATTCATTTATTTCAAGATATTCTGAATAATGGTGAAAAACAGCAAAGGTGGCACTGCTTTGGAGGGCGTCATGGATTACGTATGGCCTGTCACTGAAAAAATTTCCTGTCTGAAAAACCATACACTAAAATGGATTGAAGTAACCAAGTAGTGCTAGTGATTGCTATTGAGACTATCTGTAAGTATAACTTCTGAAAAGAACCCTACAAAATAAGCACGATTTCACAAGAAGTCTCTGGCAACATATCGACTTTATTAATGAAAAGCTGACTTAGAGATTCATCCAAAACAAAATTAATCTACAAGAAAGAAAGAGGTATCGAGTATCTGCGCTTTTTCATACTCAGTACTTGGTACAAATACTAAAAACTAGATACATAAAATGTAGTGAGTAAAAAAACAATCATACAATTCAACATATTTCCAACATTGATAATGCGCGAAAGGCGAGAAAAATACAAATAAGGAGGTGAAACATTCAAGAATGCCAATCGGGCGTCATATGGGCGCCATTGATCGAGAAGTGGCAAAATGCCTGCCGTCCGCTCGCGCACGTGGCGCACGGGACTTGCATGCAAATCGAGGACTGCACAAAAGGGAATAGGTTTTTGACATCGCCTGTATGTTTATCAGCATTGATGAAAATTCATAGTTCATCACTGTTAAGAATAAAAAGGATTGAAGGATGAAGGACCCGGCATCTTTAATACCCTCTGCGGGCATGCCCGAAGCGCTTTAGTTCATAGTCGAAGAGGCTAATGAATGCGTGCGGGTTTTCTACGACTTGCGGGGCCAGCCGATCACCAAGTCACAAAATACTCTGGTACAATTTAATTGCCTTGGAGTTTGAAGGGCTTAACTGGCCTTGGGCGGGATCAAATCTGAGTCCACTGGCGGCGGTGCAGGAGGAACCAAAAGCCTTACCGCACGTATCCAAGGGGGAAAGGGGAGAAACTGGCCGTGTGCCAAGAAGGATCTGGCAACCTTCAAAGCTCCGCCCTCCGCTCTGAGTATGGGTGTTGCCTTTTTTGCTCAGGAATTCCATGAAGGAAAAGGCTAGTTTAAAAGACCTGGGGTGGAGATGAGGGAAAAACAAGTTTGTGACCAGTTTGAAAAACATAATGCAATTTTAGCATTTTTTCAAAAATTGGAATTGATGAACAGTTTTTAGAGAGTTAAGAGCTTCGGCCCGATTTCAAGTTTTTCATGAACTCCTATAAATGGCTTCGCGGAAAACTTACTCTACATATCATTATAATTTCCTGAGATAAATTTCTCAATTTTTTAACGATAGTCACTGCGTTAGTTGCATTTGTGCTAATCGATAGCCATTTACTTGACCTTTGCAGGATCAAGCCAGTCGCCTGATTAGCCAAGAAAGTCATAATTGAAGTGAAAAATTTGGTCGTTGTTAACTCCAATAAATTTTTGACTCGGGGGGGGAGGGGAAGGATGAGAAAAATTCGCGAAAAAAACTTTGAAAAGTCGTGTTTAAAGGTGAACTTGCGAAAGTAAACGCCAAATCAATCATCAAAAATTTTCAAGTTGCAAAATCAGACTCGGGCAGAAAGCTGCAAAAAGCAGCCAAACATCAAAACTTGTCTGTTATAACAGTTATAGTAGTTTTCATGGTTTTCCCCCATTTATATTAGATATTGTCCCACTTCTCTAATCCTATGCCTCGACAACTGCCAGCGGGGTAAAGGTTGTCCAGGTTTGGTTCGCACTTCAAATCTGAGCTGTGAAGCTTTACTGAGTCTCCTCTCAGGCATAAGATGTTTGCAATTGCATTTTACGTCCTTTTTGGATCTGAGTATCCAGGATGTAGTGTTAGTCTCTTTGTTAAAGTTACTGTTAAAATCACTTTGAAACTTCGTTTTCGGCTTATGTTCTACTGCTTTAAATCAATTTTTGGTACCCACCTTTTAAGCTTTGTATCATCATCATTTCGATTTTGAACAAAATTTATCAATGATCAAATGGTAGCGGTGTTCCATTTGACTGCTACAAAGATGACCGTTACTACTCATTTATTAGATTTATGGCATGTTACTACTTTTATCATCATCTTGGCACCTGAAATCCTGTTTGAAAATCTTTATTGCCCATTTCCCAAATTCCAATTCATAGTTTAACCTCATAATTCATCAAATTTGATCAATATGTGGTAGTCCATCTGCCATTCTTGCTCAACACACAATGGGAGCATCCCGTGGGCGGAGCGATGGGCGGAGCTTCCTCTGACTTCCACTTCCCCCCTTAGATACAGGCGGCAAGGGCTTTGATTCCTCCTGCACCACCTCCGAGTCCACTTTGGTCATAGCGGCGCCTCATACCAATACGCCACTCGTTCCTATTAAGAATGAAGAATAATCTTCTCTGTATTGTTCCAATTTTGTTCAGGAATGATATTGAGAATAAATCAGATATAAAATGTGAAACTATATCAAAAATATTTCTCTTTGAAATAGGTGTATTATTCCGACATGAACTGTGAAATCCAGGAGAAGAAGAGAGTCAGAGTTACTTTTTCACACGTGCTAAAAAAACAATAAATCTGAAAAGGAATGCTCAAATCTGTGAAAAATCATTATTGGTGGTTTTGAGGCAGATTGCAGATTTCCATCTCTATGAAGTCATTATAGCATTTCATTATCAGCAAGATGTGTAGACTTGGATGAGCAGTTTGCCCAGTTTTTTCCCATTTGATAAAATTAAGGGACACAAAGCGACGTCTGCCAAGATGCGGCCGATTATAAGCTTTAGTAGTGGCTTTACGGATAAGTGTCATGGTTTTCAATATAATCGTAAGCAGGTATCATCAGTTCCCAACTTTTAGAGGCGGAGTTATGCGAACTTAATGTGGCAGTTTTCTATAGCGAAGTTCGAATAATCCTGCAAAGGAAGGTTCAAAGGAAACGGCTCGGCAAATCACGGCCTAGGTTTCTTCTGCTTATTTTATCGACGCTCTGATTCCAAAAATTCACCTCAAAGGGCGCGAAAATTGCGAAAAACAACATTCCCCTTATTTGCTTGGACTAGTGGAATGGTCCCCGCCATGGTTGGAGACGCAGAGTCGCTGAGGGACCCTCATGGTAACGTTGCGGCATGCCTCCTCCGATAGTGGGGGGGGGGAGTCGCAAGCGTCCGAACGCGTGTAAGAAAGGTTTGCGCGCGCTGCTTCAAGGGTAGTTTTCTAGGCAGGGCAGCATGCTGTGCAGTCGGACCTGCTCTGTTTTCAAATTTGGGGTACAAGCAACCTATCAGGAGAGTTTGCATCTGCCTGCACTCGAAATTGGAGTCGATCATATTGACGAAGGTACCCTCGCATTTATCCAACACCCATGAGATTGGGAAACAATTGCGAGACATGGGTATCACTGAAAATATTGTAATTGAATTCTTTGATGTTTCATTATTATATACCAAATAATGCCGCGTTGGAAACACTCTCTGAAATGTTGGATACTTATTATATATAATATTATGGTAATCTCAAGGCTGCATACTGGTTCTAATCAAAGAACGCTTAAAGGCAGTGCCTTTGCAAGGATGGGGGCGGAATTTTGTGCCATGCGAAAGTGGGTCCCTTCAGATATGCCATCGCACAAGTGCGAAGCCACGCTCTTGAGCAGAAGCTAGAATTATGGTCGGTAGGTCCAAAAATTCGAGCCCTATGGAGAGCCTCACCCATCTGTAGATTTCCTGCTTTGCAGCAAAGTACGCTGCCGCCACAGTCGAAGTCATAGGGTTCCGCAGCGATTCTGCGTCTTAAACTTGGCGGGAATTGTTCCACTTGTCCAAATTCAGTTTGAAGGCTTTGGGAAGCCCCCATTCCCGTTCTCGCGCTCTCCAACGTGGATTTTTGGATTTAACATTGCGTATGCCCAAGCATTTTCTGGAAATCGAATTCTTGCTCGGATGCGGCCTTTGAAGGCACTGTCCCGGCAAAATTTCGCTTTTCGGAGCCTTTTCGTCGTGTATTTAAGCTGCATGAAAATGGTTAGAATGTTTTTCTGAAGCTCTCCAATTCCGCATTTGCTCGAAATCACGTTTGAGTAGGCAGGTGCAAAAGACTTCTGGAGTGGACTTAGGCCTTCCAGATGCGCCTTTTTGCTCCAGACTTCACTGATAGATCATTTGGAGGGTCTGTTATCGCAACGCTGTGAAACCTACCCATGGCTTTGCCGGGACGCTTTCTTTGACGGCAGCGTTCAGGCAGATCCGAGCTCGACAACCACGCTCACTTCCCTCGGACGGCCAACCCCTTATGAACGAAATCTCTTCAGCCTTGACGTGTTTTCACATGACCAACACAGTCGAACTTAAAGCGTTTACCTGTTAATACTTGCTTTCGACAAGGCTAACATCAGAAGCACTCGTCCGGGTTTTCCCAAAATAGCCCCAAAAGGTGGTTGTCTGAGAAAATCACGCTTTTTGAGTTCCATATTCGGAATCAGCGCCATGGAAAGGCCTGGATAACATAAAAATATAGAAGTCGAGAATCTACTTGG